TAGATCACTGCTTATTTTTAGCAGTGTAGTTTCTGTGAGTGAATGAGTCATGTAGGTCTGCACATTTCACAGTGACTTGAATGTTAGTTTCTCAATACCAGGAGGAGAACCTTAAAAGTTGGTATTGGTTTGGTTTGGTTTGGTTTTTTTTTTTTTATTTGTTTCATGATTTTTCTTTAGTGTTTAGTGTTGAATAGTCATTGCTGTGTTTAGCAAATCAGAGTATGTGGAACCTGTGTGAATTTTTCTTTTATGGACTGTAGTGGGCCAAGCTTTAATTGTTGATCTGTAAGAAAGCGAAGAGGAGGTAGAAATGCTCAGATCCTTCAAAACTGAAGTCGTCCTTAGTTCTAATTACTCTTGAGGCTTTACCCCAGACATTTTGAAATTGTGAAATGATAAACTAGATAAAAGCATGTATCTCTAGAAAGTAATCAGTGGCAACAACCTGCAAAGATGTCAATTCTTGCCACAAAAGAAATGATATTCCTTCTGTGCTGCAGCATTGCCATATATAAACTTGGTTCCTGCATGTAGCTAACCTCTGTTTTCTCACCTGGTTCTTTAAAACTGCAAGTGAAAACAGAAATTCATCTCTGAACTTGTAGATGGAGGTATCCTGCTCCCAGTCTTGCTACAGTTGATAATTTGAAATTTGAGTGTTTACAATGACAGAGCCAAGATTTGGCAAATGTGGATGATCCAGTTTTGGAACTGGAAAGAATTCTTAAAGAAGTATTGGCATTTAATGTAGGTGGTATTTAATAAACATGGGACTCTTGATTAAGTAATTTTTTTTTTTTTTTTAACTATCAACATGTGAACAGTTTTCCTATCACAGTCAGCATTCCCTCTGCAATTTCTGTTCAACAAGAGTGGGCTTTGCAGTATTTGTAATTCTTAGGATTTGTATGGAAATGGATCATCCAATTAAAAAATTGTAATACATCTTATTTGCAATGAACACATGAATAGCTGTTGCAGTGCCGCTTTGGTGATGCGTGACGAAATAGCCCCAAAACTGGTCGTGGTTGAGTGCTTATAGGAGGACAGCTTGTGTAGGAACATACTGGCTAAGTTTTCAGTTCAGAGGTATGAGGCTTGTATTGTCAGGCAAAGGTGGGTGTTGATGCTTTATTTAGGGTTTAGGTGCTGTTAGCGAATCATGGGTTTCTTAGTCTTGGGCATTATTATGAATAAACTTGACTCATATTTTGGAAAGAAGCAGGCAACTTGGGGAAGGGTGGGGAATTGCATGTGATAGTTCATTGCTTCTCTGACTTTTATTTGGGGGAAAAAAACAAGCACAAGTGTTTGCCTGTAGATTCTTTGTAGTGGTTTAATTATATTACAGGCATGTAGGGTGGGGAGGAGAGGGTGAGAAGATAGAGCTAATCCATATATGATCATAAGAGACAAAACTGTTACTAACGATGAGTGGCCTGTGTTCTGTTTTCTCATGGCGTCTGATTTTTGTGTAAGCAGCAGCGTAGGAGTATGTTGAATAGGTGAGAACCAAGTTGCATAGTTGGTAGATGTGAGGACTGCTGAGTTCTCTCCCACATAGTTAAAATGTGATTAATGAAAGGCTTGCATAACTTGTGTTACTGAGAAAAGGGGAAAAATCAGATTGGATATGTGTGGCTGTTTTGCAAGGTATGGTTGGCTGAGAAAAGCATAAAGGGCTACATCTTGGGCTGGGAGCTGAGTCATTGAGCTAGGGTCAGAGGTGTCTCCTGCCTGAAGATCCTCCTCTCCAGGAGGACACTGCTTTAAAGACAGTGAGCAAGTCTTACAGGGGTAGACTGACTAGGAGAAAATGGAAGAAAGAGAGTATGTATCACCATGTTCTCTTGTCCTCAGTCATGCTTGACTCTTCCTTGTATCTCCTCCCCTAGGATGGAGGCCACCATTAGCCAGGTGTTTTTATGAGTCCATTAAGCCCTTTGGTGACAAGAAGCCTTTTCCTATAAAGCAGCCCTAGGAACCCAGCTCACCCACAGTTAGGAAAGATTAGGGCTTGGTAAGGACAAAGCTGCCTCTTGCGGGGTTGCTGGGTGGACTGTGAATTCCCCAGTGCATCCGCCCTACCTTCTCTCCTCTGCTCAATCTCCCGTGACAAAGCATGAAATTAATTTCCAATGTAATTGGTTGGAGCAAATAATTGGTGTAACAAGAATTGTGGTTTTCAAGGTTTTGTTTAAAAAAATACAGCTAGTTCCAGCTGCAGACTTAATTACTTAGTCACTCTGGGGCCTGAGTAAATTCTTTTTATACTCACCTGTCCCGCCCAGTTTTAGTGAAGTAACCACTTAAACAGATCATGGCATGTGAGCCATGACTGGAAGCACCTTGTCATAATGGGTGTCTTTATTTTCCTGAGAATACTTTCCTCAGACTCTTCAAGGGTGACCCATACTATAATTATTGCCCTGCAATCCTGGATGTGGAATCCAGCCTTCCTTTAGGTAATGTTCTGAAATTATACCTACAGATTGTAAGGCAGAGCAAAAGCATACCAGAGATGCTTTCTGCTTTCTTCAAAATTTGTTTACCACTGTCAGTGAAACTAGTAAAATACTATTTCTTCCTTTAGGTGTTATTGGTTTTATTTTGTTGTGGAATGGAATAATTACTTGTTGCCATGGCTTGTATCAGGCATGAATGTAACTCTGAACTGAAACATGAACTTCAAATAGCACCTATTATTATTATTATTATTATTATTATTATTATTATTATTATTATTATTATTATTTATTGTGTTTTCCCCAAAAATTGTAAACCTCTGTTGCAGCAAGCTGAAGATAATTTTTACATGTATTAGGAGTTGCCCCGTGAGCAGAAAAGAGTTGATGCTCAAGGTCAGATGGTTTGGTAAAACTTAGCGAATGCATGACTCCTAGCAAATATATCTGAATTTACTTTGAGATATGGATGGGACCAAAGCGTTCTCCAGTACTACATTGCAGTGTTGCCACTCTTCCCTAGGGTTTCCAAGGTCCCTTCTCCCAGCACACTGTGGGTGGACTGGCAGTGCTTCCCAGGGAGCAGGAACCGGTGTTAAGCAGCCCGTCTGCCTGGCTGGGCTGCCAAGGCACATGGTCCAAGGAGCACTTGGAAACCAGTTATCGAAATGTCCTGCTTACCTGGAAGCTGCTTTCTGTGCTGTGAAAAAGAAGGTACCTTCATAGGAGCAAAAAATAACTGGTACTAAGGAGTTCTGTATGCCTCTTGATTTTATTTTTTCTGTTGTTCCCCCTCCACGCTCCCACAACAGCAGTTTAGCCACAGTTATAAGTTAAAGCCCCAAATGTGCAAACCAGGAACTTTTTATAAGGTTTAACAGGCCATGGGACATCAGACCCAGGGAAGTCCATCTCTTGGACTCTGTGGTTTGGGACAGTTCTCTCCCTTGTTTAGCCAAATCCAAGTTTCTGGAGGAAATGAGCAGAATCCTGTGGCTGGAGAGTGTCGGAGCAGATGGTCATAATGGTCTCTTCTGAGTTCAAATCTAACAATTCTCACACATACCAGTTGCTGCGTTTTGAATCGTGTAGGAGGGTGCTTTCTGATAGAATGGGAGCATGAAATCAGGCAGGAATGGGGTGTGTAGTAGCAATTGCCTATGGTGGAAAAGATTGCCTGGTGTGGGCAAAAAAAAAGCTCAATGGGAAGTATCTTCTCTGTAGAGATTGAACAGGGGAAATGTCTGCTGCCCCAGGCTGAGGAAAGTCTCATTCTTCCACTGAGTTTTAAGAATATCAGAGGACAGTGAAGAGAAAGTGCAGTTTGTTGTAGTAGCTGAAGGGGATGGGTTTTGTCCAAACTTGATTCCAGGGCTAAACTGTTTGTTTTATTTTTGGCTTTTACTGCAGAGGGCTGGTGGGAGAGAAGGAAAATTAAATTTAAAGCTTCATTATTCTTGGCCCATGTTTAGTGTCTATTAAGTGTTCCTGAAAGTTCACGTGGTTGTTTTAAAGACACCTTGAGAAAGGCTGTTTCCTGTGTGTTTGATGCAGAAGCATACTGAGCAGGATTGCAGGTATGTTAAGAGCAGTCTGCCATGATATGCCTCACACTCTGAAATTTTGTTCATATATTATGCTCAAGGTGCATAGCTGGGTCTTGGAGTAGTCTGTCTAATGTGGCTCTTGCAATTGCTGGAAAGCCAAGCAAAGCACTCTAGTCCTGATCAGGCACTGCAGCCAGTGGAGGAGGGGAGAGTACTCGGCAGAAATGCTGAGGATTTGGTAGAAAAAGGGGAAGAAAGGAGAGATGGATCTCTGGCTGTGTTTGGGATGGATTTGTCAGACACCAGAGTAGAATAGAGAGAAGGCGTTACGAAGATGATCTGGACATCTGGAGGGGCTTCTGGTTGAATTTATCTCTGAGAGTGGTCTTCGGTGTGTGTTAAATTTTATTTATATTTTTTCTCCTCATTAAGTGTCAGGATTAAGTTTACAGACAGAAATGGCCAATTAAGCAGTAACTTGCAAAGGGATAGAATGACAAAGCTGAAATCTCTGTGTCTGCAAGCATAATACCCAATTACTTCATTGTGGTAAACAAGATTTGACTTCAGGTGGCTGTAGGTTAGCATGATGCTGATCTTTCAACATAAGAGTATGTACTTTTTTTGCCTTTATTTAAAAATTGAGAGCTCTCAAGTATTCATATTGAGATAGGCAGACATAAATAGAGATATGAAAAGTCTGTTTATGCAAAAAGCTGAAAAAGGAACTCCATATCCACTGCCAAGTAATCTGGATTACACCTCTGTGGTATTGTATTCTTGCACTGAGTTGTTTTGCTTTATGTTTGTTTTCTGTAAGGTAAAGTGCTTATGTTGCAAAAATGAATACTGTGTAGAACTGAAATTTACTTAATTGGATTTTTAAATAAACAGCAATAAGAACAAAATGCTTGTTGTGAAATTTTCCTAATTCGTGCATTAAGTGTGATTATTTTTTTTAAAAGAACCTACATCTGTTTTGCAGGAGAAACTGTAGAAGGCCTTCGGGAGAGCGATTATCTTCTGATTCATTCATGTCGGCAGTGGACAACAATTACAGCTCACAGTCTGGAAGAGGGTCACTACGTCATAGGGCCAAAGATAGAAATCCCTGTACATTATGCAGGTAAAGCTATTGTTGACCTCAAATACCAATTCAAAGAGAATGAATTGCCTATCACTTGCACTGATCACTTTGACAGAGTGAAGCTAGGCCTCTGATGCCCCTGTCTGTGACTTAACTTTTTAGTAATGTTACAGACTGCAAGAGATACTTGCAGGGATACTAAATAGACGTATTTCATTGGGAAGCACACTGACCGAAGATGTAGCTACATAGAATTGGTTTCAATTTGAGTATAATGAATTGCCAGCACTTCTCATCTCTGTGGTGACAAAAGTGTGAAAGTTTGAAAATGCCTTGAAATGTTCAGTCAAAGATGGAATGGGTTTTACGTTGCATTGTATACTCAAGCTGCAGGGATTTTTTTTAATATTTCCGTGTTGAAAGCCAGGGACCCTTTGTAATAGTACTGCAGTTTTACACTAATGCTCCTCAGTAGTTCCTTGTCACTCTGCCTTTTGGGATAATGCAGTAATACTGTTGTTCCAAGTATATATGATGCAACTAATCCATATTTATTTTACAACTTCAAATTATTTTTACTTTCCTAAGAAATTATTTTTAATAGTGTTTCTTACTGCTAAATGTCCTTGTTCACAAACTGAATAGAACAATACTGTATGAGTGGGAAGTCCTTATCTTACTGCAGTAGATACAAAAATTTAAAAAGCTGAAAAGTGTGAACTCGAAGAGCCATGGCTACAAAGCAGAAGTGTGGGCTTAGTGTTTTACTAGGTGTTCTGTATAGCCAATTGTCAATTGATTAATCTACTCAGCTTTCGTATAGTCTCCTTTAAAGTGTTGATGCAGTGAGGGTGTGCTGAGTTGTACAAGAGGTGACTGAAATGTTTTGTTTCAGTCGCACCAGTGCTGCAACTGCAGTGATGCAGCCTGTTTCAGTGATGAAACTTACACCAGTTGCTGCCTTAGGTACTGTTTCTCCTTGGAGTTCGCTTCTGGAAGGTTAATTTTTTTAAGAAGCATTTAAAAGCTTTGGTCTTACATTATGCCACTTATATATGGCATATAGTGTCATATTGTAAGTGACTTTAAAACTCTCTGAATTTAACTTTCTTAGTATAAACAGTTTCTAGTGCTTGTGCTTAGTAACATCGACTTGTTTTTAATTTTTACACCTCCTGGCTGCATAAGCTTCAGTGCTGTGGCCAGATAACCACTTCGCTTCCTTCAGACTGAATGCTGCATTTTAGTCCTCACTGTGATTCCTGGAAGAAGGAGAACAGAAAATAAAATGGTTATTGGCATGAAAGAAGATTGAATCTTAAGGGGTTTACTAAAGCTTGGTTCTTAACTTTTAAAGAAATTAACAAAGGTTTGCTAAGCTTGGTTTCCTGATTCTTTGTACTTTCATTCATTCATAACTTAAATTTACATAGATATCAGAAAAGTTGAAACCTGCCCCCTAAGATACTGCAAAGTTATCAATGTGCTTTTCTTCCTGGCTTGTGTTAATGAAGGAAAAGAGCATGCATTTAGTTGGCAGAACACCTTTTGCTGTCAATCTCCCTAAAGTTCTCTGCCATAAACACCTCATTAATGAGATGAAAATACATGAAAGTTCAGAAACTGCCATGTAGTGAGGGCACTTACTTGAATATGTGATGGGCTCAGATGCTGCCAAAGGAACTTCAGAAAAATGGTCAGTGCTAACTTGCAGCACCAGAGCACGTCTCGCGGGCTTGCCTACGAGGAGGGAGAGGTGAGCCTGAGCGCTTGAAGGTTTAGTTAGCAAAGTGCTGGAATCTGGTGCTTGGGTGCTAACATCTAAATGCGGTTAGAGACGTCTTCCGTACCCTAAAGATTAATTTATGCTGATGTGGAGTACCATACAGAGATCTATAAGCTAACACTGAGCGCTGTTTCAGTGCTGCATTGTGCCTCGCGTTTACTGCTTTTGGGATCCAGAACCCTGCAACGAAGAGGTGAAGTTTAATGCAGCTGCCTAAGACGACTTGCTGGGCTGGGCGCTGCCAACCTGACACAGTTGTGCTGCTCGCCCTGCAGCAAGCTGGGGGAAGGCTGGGGGGTGGGACAGCTCCAGAACATCGGCTACCCTTCCGAGGGGGACGTGCGGCTGCTGAAAGGGAGTGCCATCAGGGAGCCGTTTGCTGTGCAAGCTGGCTGGCACAGCCCTCCATTTGCACGTGAGAGCTTTCCATCTTTGCAGAAAGCACAACTGAAACAGTTGGCAGAATGTTTACATGGGGCTCAGCCATTAGGTTTTGGTTTTAGAGGAGGGAGTTTATGTCCTCATAGGCAAATATTTGTAAGCTGTTTCGTTCTAAAACTGTTGGATTATAGAACTGACTTTTTGCATGCTTTAACTTTAAACTTCTGTCAAGTAAGATGTACTGCCTACCAGAATGACCCTTACAGATGGAACGTAAGGGTTCATTAAAATGACTTTCCAGGTTTGTTTTGGCTTTAATGGAATAACTTCTTCCTTTCTTTTAACCCCTAGCGGAATTTTAACGTAGCAAATTGCAGCATGATTTTGGTTGCAACAGTTGAGCAGGAAGAGAAATTGAAACTGTTATTCTCCTGAGATTATAGCCTTAAGTACCACAGTCATCACTCACATATATAAATACGAGTATAAAGTAAATCTTATTTTGCTACTTGCTAAATCAGGTTTTGATACACTTATTAAACGTAAATACAATAAAGCCTTATTAAAGAAGGAAAATGCTGTATTTTACATTTAAGTGAAATCTCATTAACAGAACCTGAGTTCTGCAGTCTTGCTGATGGTCCTTTCCCTACTGGGAAACTGCTACCCTGGTTGTTTCTGTTGAGGATGGCTGACATGGTTAATTTTTGCTGTTGCTGTCAAAGAACAGTCGTATATGACAGCTGTTAGTCTAACCATTCTCTCTTGAATGATCTTTCCAGTCTGCTTCTCTTTAAAGTTAATGTAGCAGCAAGTTCAATTTTCATGTAATTAAAACCAAATGGCTAATGTGTTTCTGGCTCCTAAAACAAAAGAAGTCTTCATGTGCATATGGATCTGGAGAACAGATCAAAATTACTGTCCTGATAGTGCCCTGTCTTGGTGTGAGAGAGTGGACTTCACGAGAGTCCAAGGTAAACCATCACAACAGATGGACATTGCTTTGGTGTCCTTTGCTTTCTTCAGGTACACAATTCACACTTGATACTTACGGGATACTTACCAGATTTCTTTCTGAACTAGTTTGATATTGTTCTTGGTACTATGATGTCCTTAGTACTAAATTGCTATTCTAAAAGCGAGTGTGTATCATCCATACCCTCCAGCTGGTGTCAAACGTTACTGCTAGTTTTGGCTCAGGCAGCACTGTAATCCTTACCCTGATAAACGTCTCCCTTAGTAGCTTCTGGCAAGTAGTGGTTTATGATCTGAATTTGGAAGATACAGGGCATGCTGATATCTTGCAGAATTAGACTTCACTGTGCTGCTGCTCGTCAAGAGGAACACCTCTCATTCCTCTGCAGAGGTACCTGCGTGGGAAGATGTGTCCCAGGGGTGCTGACGACCACTTCTCAAACATACTCTGTGGTAACTGGGAGTCTGAAAGTCATTGAAGACACTGCCTGGGGATTTGAAAACTGTGGCACTCAGGTGCTGTCTGACCCTTCTTGTGTTACCTTCCAGGGCTATATAGCTCAAAACCATCACAAGCATTTTTGAGGATTCATCAGCTCGAGCTGCAGAGGTCTTCTGCTCTGACTCTGAAAGACCCAGGTTCAATCTGCTGTAAATGCCTGCGCTATGTGGCCACGGTTCCTTATGTGTGCAAATTACTGATTTGAAAGTTGATGGAGTTGGATGTGGTTGCTTAAAACTTGCTGTATGGGAACAGCAGCAGAGGGCTGTGGAGTGACCCGTGTGTGTGTGTACCCTCTCTCACACAGCATAGACTTTTCTTTCAAAGGCTGTGCTAGTATTGGTGAGTGTATGCAGTGAAAGAAAAAGTACTTTGGGGTCGGTTGGCAGCTTCTAGGTTGTTTTGCCCCAGATACTCACTCCCACGTTTAATCAAATCATAACAGGACCTTCACTGTTGTTTTTCAGGGCCTTATCTCTGTTGTTGCAACTGATGGTTCATTTGCTGTCCTGTCCGTTTGAGGGTTTTTTCCATTCTGAGACCAAAGCTGTTCCTTTGAGATGGTGTTTAAAAAAAAAAAAAAAAAAAAAAAAAAAACAACCAAACACCTACCTTTTCTTTAAGCTTCTACTTAGCTTTGTCCAGAGTTTGACAATAATACCTCTTGTGTCAGCGATACCATCTGTGTTCTCATAGGAGACAACTAAGAAATAAAATAGTTTTGCGAAGACATTAGAAAGTAACACCCTATTCCAGGGTGTGCCATCCTGTAACACATCCGGGGTGGTGGAAATACTCTTCCCGTGAACTCACACCTCCCCACCACATAGTGAAGGTGTGCAATTGCTAATACAGAGTAATCACTGGTGCCCTGTCTGGTCGCTTGCCCAAGTGTGCTGATAGCTTTCATAATGTCTTTTAAATGAGGAAATATAAAACCTTGTCGTATGAGCCTTCCCCAGGTGGGGTGCTGGGTGGGAATGAGTCAGAAGTCCCTTCTCTGGTGTTAGAACTGATGTACCACAAACGTCCTACTGAAACCTGTTTCTACTGGTTTGATTTGTTAATCATGGAGCAGTGCCTGATGGGCCTGTTACTCGTTGCATCCTGCTAACACGGAGGAAGATGCTTTCTGCAGGTCTTCTCAAGAATAAACTTGCCTTTGCAGTGGTGAAGCAGGAGAGCTCCCTGAGGTTTTGCAACATGCAGCTGCAGAAGTTTCTCTGTCTCATGTCCAAAGGCATGCCTGCCTCTGAGATGCAATTTTGCAATCCCAGCAGGCCTACTGCTGCCCGCCCTGGGGTCGTCAGACCTTGGACACTGAGGGAGGAGAGCGCTGAGGCGTGGTGTGAGTTGGGCATCTCCTGGTTGTCTGGAGACGGTGACAGCAGCTGC